CGGTGTATTGTTTGTTTTGTGCATGTGTTGTGGACAAAAAATGACCACGCCCATTTAGTGATTGCAATATGTACGTAATAGAAACCGCACCCCGAACTTGAGCTTTTGATCCCTATTTTTAAATTGATACATTGTAATATAAATCGCGGTTTATAATAGGACTTTAACGGTACATCAACAATCAATGACACTCCTATTATGATTATATTATTGTATTATGGTTGTTGAGTTTAGTCAGTTTCACCTTCCTCATTTAGTATTATACATCTTTACACATGTCAAGTTGGTTGGCACTTGCTTGCTAACTTGATTTCAGTTCTGATAGAAAGGTGGCTTCCACCTTAGTGTGTGACACATCTAGTTCACCAGTATTTTATGAGATAATATTCTGCATTCTCCAAAGCGTTGCAGTTATTAAACTCACAACACATTGTGTCTTTTAGTTGTGCCTGACGTTCCCAAAAAAGTGGAGAGTCAAGAGATATTCCCAGACAGTATAATACTGCGTGTGATGGATCCAGAGAATACAGGAGGATGGCCCATAGATGGATATAAAGTTGGTGTGCGCCAAGGAGAATTTGGAAAAATTGAAAACCAATTTTTTGTGAAAGGTGAGTACCTAGTATTCCGAAAGCTACTTCCTACTGTATTTGGCGAAACATACAAGTAACATAAACTTGGGAAAAATTCATATCACAAAGTCTTGTTGTTTTAAGATTTGTGTTGTTACATTTCTGAAGTCAGAGCTTCATCTGGTATCAAATCTTGTAATGAAAGAAAAATGAAAAGACAATGTTAATGAAATGCTAACAAGACTGGACATGTAGGGATAAACACTAGTAGTGAAATATGTAAAGGAAAAAAAGAAATCTAATACATCAGAAGACTACACCATTAGACAATGGTTGTTTGAATATAATGAGAGGACTCGGCAGAGTGGGGAATATAGAAGTTGGTGTGATATAAAAAAAGATGTGGGATTGTGTAGACAGCCAACAATTGATGAAATTATACTTGGTGACATCTCTCTACCAGTGTTATACAACCATCTGCTTTTCCAGAAAAAAGGTATATTTATACCACGGAGATGAAGGAGATCAAATCACATACCCAGTTTTCCTGAATCACGTAAACTTGAAGTCCATTGCAGAAAACAGACCAGTATCCATCATATTATTACTTTGTAACTTTTAGTAGTTGTAATATAAGTTCCAGGCAGCTGCATATATCTATGTAATTCTTTTTATGGAGTTACCGTTATCGAAAAAACTTTTATTGAATTAAAAAAATACCAGCAAATAATGACATGGGGGGGGGGGGGTAGGAGTTTGTACTGGTATGTCATTATGTATCAGTATCCAAAGCTTGACGATTCACATTGATTTCATATGTGAATTTTTTTTAAAGTTAGTGCCTTTTAAATTACCAAAATGATTTTTTTTTTTTTTTTCAGGTGAAACCATTGATGTGAAGGGACTGAAAGTAAACACTGCATACCAAGTCATGGTGTCTTGTCATAATCCTGTCGGTTACAGTCTTTTCTCTGAAGCCATAATATTTGAAACACTGGATTACCGTATGTCACTATATTTGTTTCTGCAATTCAGAAAGCAGCATAAATTTTAAATGACTGTTTTGTGGAGATCAGTACTTGTGTAACAAGAAGTAATGGTGGATGAGTGAAATTAAATTGAAGCATTTAATTTGAATAGCAATGAGATGTAACTTACATTAGTGTAGTCGCATGAGATGAAAGATACAGTTATGAAAATATAAACATACAACACTCATTACCACGCTATAACACCTTGCCATTCTAAACAGATGTTTACTACCGGTATGTCACATTGTGAAAACAGTTATGAAAATATAAACATACAACACTCATTACCACGCTATAACACCTTGCCATTCTAAACAGATGTTTACTACCGGTATGTCACATTGTGAAAACAGTTATGAAA